GCTTGCTGACTCATTTTCTGGGGTGAGCTCCAGACCTGTTCTGTGTTCTGAGTGGACCTTAGACCTGTGTCACAGACTCAATTCCAGCCTCCTTTCCTGGCTGGGCTCCCTGGGAGGATCCTGCACATGACTTTGTCTCACCTAGTCTGGGACTGCCAATGGCGCCCATCACAGCCACCAGCACAGTCCCTTTCAGACAACGTGGGGCTGCACTCAGGTTCCCCTCATTTCCCAAGCTTGTTCTCCCCTTGCAGAAGACATGCTTTTGATGCTCCCTGATGAGTGGCCTTTTTTAGGATTCAAGATTAATCAGTATTCAATGCAACAGGAGAGCTCCAAGCCAGCCTTCCTTTAGTCAAGCTCTGGCCCCTCTGTGGTCTTGTCCTATATTCTCTGCTCACAAAACCCAGGGTTTGCTTGAGCATCTCACTGCTACACATAGTGCAACTGCTCAGGGCTCTTGCATTAAAGTTGAAGACTTCTCAGGCCTATAAGCATGGGTTTTCAAGGGGCTGGGGACAAGTCTATTACTGGCTCTACTTGGGTTTGCACCTGTATAAGCAGTTCTTGCTTCAGTGTGTAATCTTTTTGTTTGACTTAGGCACAGAACTCTTTAACCTGCTGTGTGACTTTGCGCAGATTTAAAACAGCCACCCTGTCCCCGTTTGTTAGTGGAACAGATAGAGTTTCCCTGATGCTATGCCAAATTTGTGCAGAATTTGAAATGTTCTTCTAGGTGAGATGCTGTGTTCTGTAATCCTTAAGGAGAGCATAATTTCTTTGGGGATATGTATAAATACAGTGACACAAAAAAAATCGACAAAACCCAGTTTTTCTAAAAGAAACAGTTGAATGTCTAGCCTGTACCCCCAGCTCTGTTCTTGCTGTTACTGCTTTTTAGAAGCATATGGTCATAGTAAACTCATACCAAATTTCTCAGAAAATCTGACAGAGGAGCACTTGAAGAGAAGCTTCAGTGTTATTCATGACTAGCTAACATAAGCTGACAATAGCCGATGACTGTAGTGAAATGCTGATGTTTCCATAGTGCTGCCTCTTCCTCTTTCTGGAGTGCTGGTTCTGAGAGCACTTACCAGCCAATGGTATTACCACATTGCTGAAACTAACTTCCAGATTCATGTAAAATTAATCATAGAATTCTACTTTTACAGAGAATAGTAGCCACTGGAGATAAGGTAATCTTGTTTACCTGTATCCTGTGACATGAATGTTAATGAACTCTAACCCAGGTTTGTATCAGGGACGAGGAAATATAGGTCAAAACTGTGATTTATACGATCAGCTATAGAATTTAAACACTAAATTCTCATTAATCTCAATGATAATTATTTAGCTAAATCCCCATATCATTTCAAAAATATGGCAGTGTTCTAACCACTCATTTTGTCACGTTCATACATTAGTGACAGATTTTGTAAAACTACTTTAATAAATTAAGAAAACACCAAAGTGCTGTACTGATAAGACAACCTGATTAGATTTTCTGTGGTAAAAGTACAAACAAAATACAGGTTTTGAAATGCAACACTCCAAAAGAAATACAGTAGGCTGAAAATTCTCGTAATGAGAAATCCATGAGCCTAAATATTTGGTGTTCCTGACTTGTTCACTTCCTCAGGTTAATGTTTCTTCAACATGTTTCCAGTTCTTTTCTTTCCTGAATCAGTAGTTGTACCTTCAAAGGTGATGATTTGCAAATGATGATTTCCAGCCTACTGTATTCTGTGTATGGCAGAATGTCCATCAAGATGCCTGTAGGTGACATTAGTAGTGCAATCATTCAAAATGAAGCCTGACAGCATTTCAATCAATTCGCTTTTCAACACTAGACATCAAATATACATCGCAAACCCAGCACCTGCTCTACTTTTAGTGTGACATCAAAAAGGTTAGCCTCGGGTCCTAAGGCAGAGGCTGTCTCCTGAATTGCTACATTAAGAAGTGACTTTGGCAATAATACTCATGGAGATTAACACTCCACCAAAACTGGCTCTCAACCTACGATACGGTCTAACCCCTTTGCTCCTTGAGTCTACCCCGTCACAGCCCACAGAAGCCTGCCTGCTACAGGCGGCAGCCACAGAGTCCAGCTCTTAACCTCATACTGTAGAGATGGACATCTACAGCAAAGATGCAAGCAGAATGGCAGCCTTACACTTATGACAATCTGCTCCAGGTCTGAGCTCCTCGGGAGTCAGCTTCCTCCTTTTGGTAACAGTTGCACTGCAGTATCCCCAGAGGCATCCTGAGGTGGCAAATTTTGCAGCCTTTCATGCTGTTTGGTGGGTCAATCGAGGCCTGTCTTTTTAAAACAGCAGGGAAAGTGTTAGGATGACATCTAGCTCTTGTAACACTGCTCTTGAGATGAAGAGGTTCAGCTACTGCCATCCTAGGACTTCTTTGTTTATTTTGCTGGGGATCAAGACCAAGCCAGTTAATTGTGCCTTTGCAAGTTCTAATTTCTCTTTTGTACTTTGGGCTGAAGTAAGCTCTACTCCTTGACACACGACAACTTATATTGCTGGATCTTCCAAGTCAGACCCATAATTCCCTTTAAATAAGAGGATAACTAGCTACAGTCAAAGAGTGTGGAGGTACCTGAGAAAGCAAGAAGGCACTGGATGTGCCCAGGATTTCGCAGGGGAATAATAAAGGCATGCCAGCACTCATAAAACTTAGAAGGACGGTGTAAATCCCTCTCCTTCTGTTCTGTTTGCTATGAAGCTTTGGTGCTGATGGCATAAATCAGGAGGATGAACAGCTGGGAGATGAATTATAGGAAACAGTGCTGGAAAGGCATTGTCAGTTGGTCGTAACAGCGGTGTACCCAAGGGCATGCAGATTGCTATGTGGCACAGGTGCAGTGTGGGCCTTCTGAGGGGACCCAAGGAGACAGGAACAGGGATCCAGGTGCGACAGGCTTATGAGGAGAGAATTTTGATGTGACCTGTTTACCACATGCCTCACCACCCCCTCCTTACTAGTGGTGCAGAAGATGTGATCTTTTATGCCTACAGGGACAATACCTGGTTCAGTCCGGATGTAATCCCAAGCACTAGGCAGGATGGTGCTGATCGCATGAGCCCACCAATCCTACAGTTGGGGATTGAAGGGTCACATTCCTTATGCAGAGCAACATCTTTCTCACATCATGCACAGTAAAAGGGTTAACAGCTAGTCTTACTATTAACTTTGAGCCCACAGTGGGTGGGAGGCTTGTGTCCCCTCACCCTGCAGAAACTGCCTGCAATCACATTCCTGGAGGTTCACAGAAGGCACTGCCCTGATTATTGCAGCCACTCTTGCCAAGAGACCCTCCATATCAGTAATACAAGTGCAGCAGGAGATACACATTCCACACGGCACAAAAAAGGTTAATGTAGGGCCCAATAACCTTCACAGACGAATCAAATGGCTGAGTAGAAAAAGCTGTCATTAATATTTGCAGTCCTAGCAGAGTCGCTGGAGGAAGAGGAATGCTGTCTTAGAAGATGATGTAGTAGAAGCAGTATACAGACAGACTTCAAGAAAGGTAGGAAATTGTATAGAGGTGGGAGAGATTATTCAGAGTTGCCCAACTCAGTGGCTTTGGTCTGAAGGGGTGTTTTTCTCTCGGAGGAGTGTCTGAATCTTCTCAGTGGAAATGGTGGGCTCTGGAGGTAGATGGATTGGATACTGGTAAATCCCAGGTTAGGGCAAGGTCCCTGCAGGCCTGCTCAGTCTGCTGTTGGGACATTCAGTTGGTTGATGCACTGTCAACATGCAAGTTCACAGATGGTAAACGGACTCAGAAGCCAGCCTGAGTGCTTGCTGAGGACACAGATGTGTTCTGAAGATTGCTTTGGTATTTAAGTGAAATGACTGCTTTTATTAAGAAGTATTGAAGCTAATAATAAATATTTATAAATTACTTTAGTGTATGAAACTGTTGACATAACATAAATGCAAATATTTCTTAGGAAAGTGAATAAACATACAAGGCTACATTACTTTGCAAATGAATTCATTAGTATTTATTACAGGAAATTACAATCAATTATTAAGCATTATGATGGCTTCCTTGGAGAATGAATGTATTATTTTCACTGTTATTAATAATTTCAATTACCAAGTTTAAGTACTGGTGATTTCCCCTACACATCCCAGGGCACTAATTTTTATGCAGCATCTAAAATATACTTAGTGTTTCTGGTTTGGATAGCTTTGTCATACATAATAAATAGTTGAAAATAAAGTTAATTTCTTCGTTGATAAGTGGAAATAGAAGCTCTGAGTGTCCCTTAGTTAGGACTTAGCCTGGGAGAGCTGCTTTATATTGTGCAATAAGGACTGTATTTGTCAAAATTTTTCCGCATCATAACCAAAATGCCATGAGGTCAGGTTTCACCCTGCTGCTGATCTTTACATCCTTTCTGTGAAGGGTTTGTACACTCAAAAGCTTGCTGCTCTTAGACCTACTGTATTAAACTGGTCTAATGAAACACTGGCCCCAAAATGTCTGTAGATTATGATGGTTTTACTGTTGGACCTGTAATTATCCCTCTGCTAACCTGGTTGCCCCTACTATAATCTTGTAGATCTCCAGTAATTAGACCCATTACACAATGTTCAGATAATCTGTTTTCAAGTTACCTTCTTTTGTCAAGCAGATGCAAAACCTGAATGTAGTTTTTTGGCTTGTTACCACAAGCCTTCACATCCCCACATCTGTGCTCTAGTTCTCCTCCTACGTGCCAATCTCCAGCACCTCTACACTCTGATCTCTCAAGTTGTTACTCCTGACTTCCTAGCTGCCTGACTGATGTGCCATGCTCTGGACACACAAACTCTAATGTAGAGATGAGAATTTTCACTTCTCAATTACCACAATTAATTTTGCACCTAGGATCTTGGCCTGGCCAACTGTACTTCTGACCATCCCACCCTTTCCTATGGTACTGCAGTATCCACTGAACTTCAGTTGTCCTTACAGTTTTCCAGAGCTTCTCTGCTAATGGGAAGCAACAGCAGCTAGGAGTTATCATTTCTTCAGTGCCCAGGCAGCCAGCATACAACCCACAGCCAGGGAGTGAAAGTGCTAATGAGGACACCTGAATTGATTTGGTGGCGACATTCAGCTGTTGATCCAATCACCAGACTATAAAAGCAGTAAGGTAGGTTAATAGAGTATGTTGCTTTATACTGAGGAGCAAAGTCTGTGTATGGTAGTGTTGCTTTATGGTACCTCATAAAGTGCATTATGCTAGAGCAAAGAACAGTTATTCTAGTTTTACTAGAAGTGGGATTTAAAAATACATGCAATTAAATTTTTACACATTCTTCTGTGACATGCTAAGTCACTTCAGTGCTACTAAATGAATAGATTGTAGATGTTGCGAAGAGGTTTGGTTAATACGGGTGTGAGTGGAAAAGTACTATAGTAGAGCTCTCTTTAGCTTCTTTTTCCTGGTATTTTCAACACAAAGAAATGAATGAATTCTTCATGAAAGTTGCTGGATGGAAAACTTCTGTTTCTTTTCACATGTCCTGGAGGAACAGCAGTGGATTCCCCTGCCTTGTTTGACTTCCTAGGTTGGTCCCTTGTGTGTCTCTCACAGGAGCTCTGTTTGATCACTAGTCTTTTATGTTGAGATAGTCCCAGGTAAGTGTTTGCTTCATAGGCTGGGGTTTTTTTTCCTCCTTTGTTTTTATCTCATTAGGAGCGGTTAGCTATTCAGTAGATATGGCCAGGTCAGCTGATACAGATCGAAAAATGCTGATCTGATGTTAACATCTTTTTAAAAAATAAGTGTGCAATTTTACTAATGCTGCCTGAGCAATCAGTTTTTCATTTAGGTATTTTCTAAGCAGGAATATAATGAAGTTGCCTGAAACTTGCTGTATAAGTTTATGTGATGCATTGAACCAGCAGAACTGTTATTTTAGGAAGTCAGTTATTGCCATGCTTTTAGTTCTGATGCATTTACAGTAACATTTTTCCATCCAGTAGTGCTTGACAGAGATGAGATCTTTTGCCTTCCATTGTAACAATTAAATATTTATTTTGATTTTTTTTCCCACATTTTAAACTGTAATTTCTTGTTGCACAGTACTTTGATATGCCCTGTTCAGATGGAAGGCATTATACAAGAATTCTGTTGCTGTCAGAATTGAGTGACTGTTAGAAAACATAACTAATAAACTTATAAGTAACTTAAGCTGGATTTCTGCTGTTGTTGCTCAATGCAGTAGTGTTTGAAAGACTTGGTTGCAAACTGGAACCCTGCTGTGCCAGAAGCTGTATTGACATTGGACAAAAAGGTAGCCACTGCTCTGAAGTGCTTTCAGTTTTCCCACAAACACTTAAGTAATTAAGTTGGAGGTTCAGTTTGTTTGTTTGCTTGCTTTGTACTTGGGCTGGCTTTTTTGTTTTCTTCTTTCCTGAACAATAATGAGAATTTATATTGAATGCACATGTTGTTTTAATTGTCTAGAATATGCCTAGGTGGTGTTATCTGAAAATTTCATCCACTGAAATAAAGGAAAACTTTCCTTTGCTGCTCTGCAGCAAGTTTTCTGTTCTACAATTATCTTCCTTCATGTTCTTAAACACTTGTACAAAAGGCATGGAAAACCTGTATGAGGGCAAGTGCCACTGACCAGTGACTAGGAAAAACATAAAAATTTGCTTTTAAAAAAATATGGTTTCAAAAAGGACACAGCCATCTTCAACCTGTTCTAGGCAATCCTTACCTGATCTTCAAAACCAAAACTACAGAATGTGGCTTTTTTAAATAAAGCAAGAAAGTTGTGGCTGTTTCACAAAGACTTACCTTGTCTTGGCAAGTGGATAATTGTTTTGTGACATTGGAGGCAAAATTAGAAAATCCATGTCGTTGGTGGTAAGAAAGAATCAGAAGCCACAAACTTTCCTGAGTAATTTATAGGAGGGAGCTGACACAGAAGGGTGAAGCATATTCATGATGCTAGGGGTCAATCTCATTCACTTTGTCTTGGCCCACGCTATGTTTCCACCTGTTGCTTTCTAAGCCTATGAATTCCCCAAAACTGCCATAAGTATAAAACAAATCCATTTTGGTCTGCCAGCAGTATTTCAGCCTTTTAGGCTTGGGGATACTTGTTCCGCTTATTAGTTGCGTGTCTTAGGTGAATTCATACAGATGGTTAGATAGGGCAAAAGATTTACTTTTAGATTTATTGAGGGAGCCTATTTTTCCCCTCCTGGCTGACATCAATAGGGTTGCGTGGTCTATTCACTTCATCAGAAAGTGCACCCTGAGAAAGTACGGAGAAGGCCCCGACTGCAATCCTGCCTTCGAACAGGTCACCACTCCATTGTTCTGGAACAATAAAGGTTTAATAAACAGTCTGACTAGAAAGATTGTGAGTTATGACACTACAAAGAGCCCTGCTGAAAGCAAAACAAGACAAGAAAGAAACAGGGTAAGGCATAGAAAAACATTTATAAACATTAAGTTAAATCCTGTGTCTTGAGCAGGACATTGATCCAGTATGTCAGAGGAACAGTGCTACCTTACAGCAGTGCTGAAGTTGCTCTATTAGTGTTTACTCCACACAGTGTATATGCTGTATAGTAACAGTAAAAATAAATGTGTAGGCACACAAGTACTTAAAAACTTGATTACTGCTGACTTCAAAGGGATTGTTTGCACGTTTCAAGGTAGGCATAGACTTACAGTTCTTTTTGGGTACTTGAAAGAGGCTGTGGATGGTGCTCTTGTACTTGAACTGCTCATCGCATTTGTCTCATGTTACCTGAAGTTACTATTTCAAATGACTATCTGTTACCCCTATTCATAAATTTAGCACTGCCCCTACAAACTTTCCCATTGGCAAGGCCTGCTACAGTTACTCATAGTGGTAACTGATGTGGAAATATTTTTGCATTACTGGAACTTACTTCGAAGTGTACCTGTCTTCGCTACACAACATGCAGTACCTGGTGTAACAGGTGCCCTGTGGGTGTAAAGCAATGCGAGTGAGTAATCGGTGGTGCAAGTGGAGGATGCTCTGGGAAATACAGAGCACAAAAGGAAGCCTCTCAAATTCGAATAGCTGATGTGTTGAAAGCATTCAGACTTGAATATGTTTTAAATTAAAAACAATTTCACAAAGGTAATCTGATTAACCTATCCTTTGTGCAGTCGCTTAAATGGTCTCTTTATCTAGGTGTTATTCAGTGGAGGGGAAATTATCAGCATTTCAGTCCATCACACCAAACCCAAGAAACTTCTCTTCAGAGCTGTTCTGTAAATGCAAGATCTTTTTTCCTCCCTCTTGGAACTGTAGGTCTCTGAAACAGTAAGATCATATTACTTTGTTATATGAGCTGCTAAAGTTCTTAATTTTGGATGCTGGTGCCCAGAGGACAAGTAATCAGTTATTAAGCTAATCAGCCTTATGTTGTAGTGCATCAGTTTGATGAGGTTCGTGTTAAAAATCTGGCATAAGTATTTGCAACCTTCCTGTGTTAGTGGAATGTAATGTTTTTCCATGCAAAGATCAACTTAACAAGCAGATTTAATCCGACACTGGGGGAGAGCAGGAGTGGGGTCAGGGCAGAAGGGACTGAAGCTCTGTGTACTAAGCTTCCACCCCTATAGATATGGCGAGCAATTTTTACCAAATAGAAGGTTCCGCATGTACTTCAGTAAAGCAGGTGATCAAAATGCAAGGCAATAACAATTTAGAAGCTGCCATTTTCCTGCTCTTTTTTTAATGCATCTATAAAGAGCGCCCAAAAAGGCTTGTGTGCACCTGTTTAGAAGCATTATAATTAACCAGCTCTCATTTGTTAATAAGTAGATAACAGAAGATTAGAAGTATACACTTGCTATTTTGTTTTGCTTTTAAACTAAATTTTAAATGGGTCTTGAATAGGATTCAGTAATATGTGATGTCTGTTTATTAAATGTGCCAAGCAAGCTTTTAGACAAAAAGCAGGGAACTTGGAGAGGACTGAGAAATAATTATTATACAGAAAAATACTGCAGCTCAAGTTTCCAGTTAGGTGAAGGCCCTAGTTGCTTGGGATTACAATTAATTCAAGTGAGAATGTGTTCACTGTTTTTATCAAGATGCCGGAGTTTCTACATCAGGCTTGTGGAGTGGGGGCAGTCCAGGTTTATGGAGCTGAAGTTTGCATTCTGCAGCCTTCATCAGTCTGAAGCTAATTAGCAGCCTCTACACAATAAGGCCACAAGTCATTAATCATAGGAGATGAGAGCAGTCAGCCCCCCATCCTCGACATCTCAAGAAAAGTTTTCTCTCGCGCCTTTTTTTTTTTGTGATAGGGCTTCAAAAGTCGCAAGATTGCTTTTCATGGTCAATAGTGTGTGAAGTATAAGCCATGTCTTGATGTGACAGACAAGGGACCACTGTTCAAGGACCCATTGGATTCTTTCTTTTTTTTAATGCTGTCCTCTAATAGAATGGAGTCAACTGATGACTTTATTTGCTTTGAGTTGAAGCACAGTTCAGATGGGAATCAAAAAAAAGTTCTAACAAGTATAATTTTTGTTAAAGGGAAGTTTGAATTTTTTACAAAGCTGCTTAGTTCTTTTAAAAAGTTACAATCCTTTCTTATGCACAGCTAATGAGGAATGAAAGTCCTTTCACATGCCTAATACAGTTTAGTACAGTGTGTCTTGAAAACTAATGCTAACAGCTGCAGGCTAAGCACTAGGAGACCCTTGCAGGGAAGAAAGAAAATCAAATTCTTGAGGCTATTGATCAAACTTCTTCCAAAGTAGTGAACCTAAATAACAAGCTTGCTCTCTGAAATGACACCAAGAATTAGATTATGCATTATACTTCATCTTAGCATACTTTCTATGTGCAGATATCTATTACTCCCACAGTAGAGGGATAAGTATCTAAAATAACTAGATACATTCATGGAAACATTTTCTATAACAGAAATTCTGCTTCCTATATCTTTCTTAGTCTAATTCTTCTCTACTTTGTGTGTGTTTGCGTCATGTCTATACGCTTGATGCTCGTCTCTAAGAGGTCTTACTCCTGAATTGTCCATAGCATGTCCTTGCGCCTCTTGATAACATCATTGTTTCAGGCTGAGAAAGTGTATTACAATATTACAGCCATTTGGAGCTTCTGGCTGGGGCAGTCAAGGAGAGGATTTTATAAATCTTCTCTTATTAATAACTGAATCCTTCATATAAACAAAACTGGATTTTTTTTTTTTTTTTTTTTGTGGGACAGGTTTTAAAAAAATTTCTTGAAGACCTAAGTGTATCTCTCAAGGCCTCCTAGTAGTCATAGTTGTCATATCAGCCGCCATGGACTTTGCTGGTTTACTTCAGGAATTACAGTAACATTGAGAGCAGATAATGGGCTTTTCTCTATTCAGCTCTCCAGGAGTCCCTTGTTCTAGCAGGCACTATACCAAACTAAATCCATCCTTGTGCCTGGAGTCATCCACTATATGCTGGGGGTGGCTTTTAGCAGGTGTTAGCACAAGCAGCAAAGCTGCGTGGTGACATGGTACTACACATCACTGGCAGCAGCCTACAAACACTGAGATTTATTGCTCCTCTATTAGCAGTTCAAGTTGAGTTTTTATTTGTTTTATCTTTTTTTCCTTGTTTGGGGAGTCAAAATAATGTTGAATATCATTTGGTGGGGTTTTGGGTTTGTTTTTTGTGGTTGAAGATTTTGTTGCTTTTTGTGATTTTAGTCTGTGAGATAAAAACTGAAAGTGGGGAAAGAAAAAATATAATTAAGAGGCTTAAACAAGCTTCTGCCTCCAGAAGCTCAGCAAGCAGCTGTCTGTACTTCTAATACAGCTATATGTTGTGTTTACTTGTCTGGATCACCAGTGGTTTTTGTCCTTGGATCTCTTCTGTTCTAACTCAGTGAGAATGATGTGTATAAGCTGTTTCATATCTTGTGCCTATTCTGGGGTCCAGTCTCTGGTGATCATCAGGTGATCATTTAGGGTGACAGCAGGGAGGAAATTATCCCAGTCATAAGATAATGGTTGAAAAGATAACTCTAGATGAGTGAGAAGGTGTGTGCTTTGGTGCCTCAGTGGTATACCTTTATTTTGATATGTTGCTCCCTTCTGAGAGTAGGATTGGGAAGCCCTATTAAGTGCAACATTTCATTGCATATTTGGTTCCCACTCCCCCACCCCCATTTGCATACTCTTGCTCACTCCTTGCTTTCGAGTTCTCTGTTTTTGAAATGTGAACCCAGTGACATTCCAGTTCACACCAAGCTTTCCATGCTGGCCTGAGTGGGCCTGGCAATTAGGCATCCTAAGAAAAAGGGCCCCATGCAGAAACTTGAGCAAAAACCCTCCAAGCCCTAGGAGCACTGAAAGAGCCATTACATTCCTTCTGTCGTATCAGTGAAATGGCACATTTTGAAAAGTTCACCTAATATATCTTTAAATCATAGACTATAGCACTGGTTATGGTCTATTGTATCAACTCATACATTTCAATGAGAGGGCATTTTCTTTCTTTTCCTCTCTTTGTAATCCTAGGAAGAAAAAATATGACATGCATCCACACAAAAGAAAATAGTAATGAAATCACATTAAGGATTTGACTAAGCCCACACAAGCAGAGAGTTAAGACTGATATTCTGTCATTACCTCAGCTCATTACATCTTAGGGTTTTGTTAGTTGTGCAGTCGGTAAGATCACCCGCTGTCTGGAGAATCCTGTACTACCTGGAAACAAAAGGAAGTGTTATGCTGCAGCTTTACCTCTGAAATTTCTTTGCTTTGCCAACTCTCCTCAGTGTTACCATAAAACAGTTTTTGGTGACTTATATGTATTAATGGCATTAATTAAACTATCAACAAAGCTGAATGGGAGAAAATGTGTCTCTTCTGAACTTCTTTCTTGAATAGGAGTAAATGCCTCATTAATCTTAAGCATCAAACCAAGAACACTGTGTTTGTTAGATAGAATAATAAATGACTTTACAGGAAATACACAATAGCAGATGCTGGAATGCATCCATTCATTAGTCACTGTGCATAAATATCCCCTTATTTCCATTAAGAGACATTTAATGGAGGGCCAGCCCGACAAACATGCGCAAGCTTTCACTCACTCACTGAGGAAACGGAAGGGAGAAAATGTCATACAAATTTGCCTGCTGAACGCAAAGCATCACATACCTTATCATGTGTGCTTTTTGTGTTCCTTGCCTATCTTTCATCAGATGGAAATGTACGTTAGCAAAGGCAAAACTGTCAGACAGCTTTTGGAAGCCCATAAGACATTATACTTTGTTCCACCTCTGGTTAGAAAGTCTGTTTCACTAGTGTGTCATCTTGGAGAAAATTGCCAACTTTACTGACATTAATGTAGACTCGAAGCCCAGTTTGACATCTGGTAAAGTCAAAGGAAGGCTATTTGTCTCAGAACTTTACAGCAAAATATTTGGTTTGATTTTTAATCGGTGTCTTCTAAGATACTAAGAAACAAGCTTGCTTCAGTGAATAATAATGTATTTTAACAATAAAAGAAGTAAGATTTATTCCCTACCCTACCAGCCTTGCTTTCTGTAAACTTTAGTACACTTGTATGTATTTTCTAGTACCTTGTAAGATAACTGAGCCAATGAGGAGCCTCTGAGTTCCTGATAACTGAACCAATGAGGCAAACAGGTACAGCCACATTGTTAAGAAAAAAAACAAAAGCCTTTATAGTAATTGTGTGGAGGGGAAAGGCAAAACTCTTGGTCAGAACTGTTTTTCTGGGACTGTTGATTCAGTGCACAAGAATTTTACATGTATTACAGGAGCGCCTAAATGATTTCCTTAGTACGTTCCTTTGTTTCTCAGTGCATATCTCAATGAAATTTGACTGAAGGATTACTTTTAGCATAACAGTTCTTCAATGATGTCAGCAGTGTTTGCATGTCCTTTTGTGTTTGAGGTCTCTCTGGTTTTTAAGGCTAAATTAACCAGAAAGACAAGAAAACCCTTGATTTATGAAACATGCTTAAGCTGGTGATTGCATTGTGTACCAAAGGTATCTGTGCGCTGTAACAGCACCCACCCCCTCAACAAATCAAGAATCTTCCATCTGAGCATGCATGTGCCTTTTGTCAATGTATTTTCCACTGGTGTTGTGCTGCTTCATGCCAGAATACTAATCAGGGTGCTTGGCTTTTAGCCTGGACAGGCTCAGCCGCATAATATAAGGAAAGACAAAATTTAATTTCTTATACTGGAAGCTTCTGAATAAGTATGGATTTGAAAAACTGCTACGCATGATTTGGTGAATCTTCTCACTGGAACTGAGAGCTTGGCAATGCTTTATTGTATTGTCCAGTAATTTTGGAGCAAAAACTTCAAGCTGGGTACAGTGGTAACTTGGGAGGTAGTGCTTATTTTCTGCTGGACTAAACTTGCAGTCTTTGCTCAGAAGCCCTACTTATATGAGCAAAGCATCAGTTTGCTTACAGATTTAGAGCCACAGGTCAGCAGTGAGTTATTAAGAAAGTCAAGGGAGGAGGAGAAGTTTTGTTTGGAAGTATTACATAATGATGATAGCAGCCTAAATTTTCAGAGGTGACCAGTGATTTTTGAAATTGAAAATGCCAAAGAGCTTGGTGTTCCCACAGATCTGTCCTCTGAGAACTAGGCCTCCTTCGGTTGGTCATAGAAATTACTGCTAGGCTAATGGTTCACTAATAATGATAGACAATATTAGTACTTTATGAAGTGAGATGTAAATTTAAGTTTCTAACCAATTTTTCACCATTAAAGATCCCAGGGAAACCTCACTGGAGAATTAAAAAATTTTCCCTGTTGTGATTGTCAGATTTTTCTTTTGGGGTAACTTACATTTTTCCTGCATTACACTATTGGTATGGTTTCATCTGGGTAGGTACATTGGTACTTGGGTTTAAGTGTCCATATCCTTCAAAATCTGTCCCATTGCTGTACTATAATTATATTTCTATCCTAGGAGCAGCTATATTCCTGTGACCAGCCAAACCCTTTCAATATGCACAGCACTAAACTGAATTACACCAAATTTAACTATCTTAACATTGATTAGACAGGTATGCAGTTAATAAAACACAACATTACCCTTTTCTCTCACTGTGCAATCATAGTGGGTCATTTCCACTACTGGTTCCAACAGGTCAACCATAGCTGGAGCCAGAAAACTCCTTTGGAAGAAAAGAGCAGAGTTGTTCTTTACAACTGGAATAGCGGGTGGGAATCCTCCGGACTCCATCTGGAACAGCTTTGACCAAACAAAAGCTCCAGATCCGCTCTCAGTGCAGTCGGTGGGAATACTGCCACAGCATTCCTTAGGAGCAACATTAAGCTTCGATTATGGTCACAGCAAGAGAGTAGTACATGTACAGATGCCAGAAAATATCAACAAATAATTCTAGAAATGTCTGTCTCTACTTTCCTTTCTTTTTGTTTTAAGGCAACTAACAGAAAATGTTTTCCCTGTCAGGGATGAGAATTAAAGTCTAAGGCCCAAGCTCCATCTGCTTCCCAAGAGAGACGGGTCAGGAAAGCCATGGTTTTCAAAGTACTCTAAGCCACTGTCCCCTATTCCAAATGCAAGGTTGGGCAAGGGCCTTGACAGCCACTGGTGTTGTTGCCAGCCCTCCCAGGGAAGCACAGTATTGTTGAGTGCAGCCTGCCTTGGACTTTCCCCCTCCTAGCCACAAGGGTCTACACTGGGACTGCTTGAGTTTTCTTTGACAGCTGGGTATACTGTTGGAGCAAGCACAGCAAAATAATGGTACAAGGTCTGAAAAGCAGGGGCCAGATTGTGGCCCTGGGTCTCCAAAAGGCCAGAGAGCAACAGCACCTTTCAGATAGCTCTTTCCCACCAAGAGCATTCTCCTCATGTACTCGATCGCATCCACTCCCTGTTCTGTGTGCTAACTCTGCCTGTGCCTTTTTTATTAGTATTTCACAGCATGTGTGCTCAGAACATCTTTCTTATGTTAAAATCTTGAAGAACTAGCTTTGCAAATCAGGATAACCTTAACCAGGAGGGAGGCAATAAAGCAGACTTTGTGGGTCCTGAATTCTTTCTTGCCTGAAACAGTTAAACGCATGGGCAGACCCTAGACCTTTCTGGCTGCTGAGTGAAGTAGAAATTAAACAAAGTACAGTACAGTGGGAAGAAACAACTGCAGAAGTTTTCCTTAACACACAGTGTGGACAGATTTTATTCCATTAGATTAATTTTAAAGGACAAATGGCATAAATTATGTTGTATAACTTTCTACAGTTGTGCTGTTTACAAACGTTGAAGTCTTTAGCTCCTGAGGCTTTTTTATCATTAACTTCAATGGAAGTACAACAGTATTTTTAAAATGCTTTGTCTAGAGACCTGCATAATTATTCCTTTCCTGTGAGGCCTTGTAGAAAGGACTATAACATAGATTTTACTTCTTCGTAAGAATTAATTCTAGACAGTCGAGATGCCTCTTTGTTTGTAAATTTTCTAACTGTATAATCCAGGCTTTAATGCTGACCACAGTGTGAGCACTGAAGCTTAGAATCTGAAGTGCTTTGGATATTGTCCCATGATAGTTATTCCATAAGCTACAAAGGAGAGGCCTTTCCAAAAGTGGAAAATATTGAGAGTACGGTCCTGCTGGTCTGGAGGCAGAAAAGGGTAGTCAGTAGGGTATAAGAAAATGAAAGCTAAAGGCCAAATGAATGTTGTCCATTCCTATGACTGAAATTTTTTTTGTGTATGTAGTGGTGAAAACATAAGCATATAAATAACTGCTGATACCAAAGAACTCATTGTAACTGAATTAAAATACTTAGGTTTTTAATTCTCTAAAGACTAATCAGAAGCATATAAAAATTAGCAAGTAATTCTAGACTGCTCAGCAGTATCAGCCTAGGGAAGCAAATGTAAAACCAAATCATTCTGACTTGTTGGATCTTGGATCCACTTTGTCATCACTTTGCAGCTGCAAAAATGCGGCACAAACTTCAGAGAGATTCAGAACCAGCTTCCCTTAAAACATGTGTCATTCACTCCAACTACTGAGAGTCATCAAGAGGTTGCTTTGGATCTAGAAATTACTAAACTTTATTTCATGTGTTTTGGGAAATACCTTTCCAACCCCACAAAGTGAGGAACAGTACATATTTACTTATTCCCTCCTCTGCGGTTACAGGCAAGTAACTTGCCGTCTTAACGTCAGTTAAAACAGCAAAGACCTGTCAGTTGTCTTTGATGTAAATGTCAAGGTACTGTGAAATGTGGTCACACAGAAATGTGCTTGTCTGGTAACAAAGGGAGAAGATCCTCAAGCAAGCTGTTTGGTCTAGTCTGGTTTGTTAGGATGCTGTAGCATATAAGGACTATCTGTGGTGTCTGATGACATCAAAGCGAACACAGATGTGCAATCCCTGTTTGTTCAGCTTCATATCAAGTAGATGAGAGAGATTGTGGTGGGGGTAAATCTAGATGTACTTGAAGAAGGATTCCTACCTACTCTCTACTCACAACTCTCCAGTGACTCATTATGTGGCCAAAAAAAAATGAATGACACTGTATTTTTGATCTGGCGTATTTGTTTTCAAATCATTTCACTCTGTATTTTTTAACGTGGGCAATTGGCATGCTGTTTCAGCTGTTGTATGCTCTTGAAAAGAATTGCAGCTGTGCATGGTATGATATAATTTGCAGGCATCATGTATATGTTTGCATGCAGAGTGCTGAGACTGTGATCTTGGTGTGCTATGTTTTACATCTTGATCCCACCTCTGCTTTTAAGTGCATGCCTGTTGATCCAGCTCTGCTGGCTGTCAAACAGTGGGAGAACCATGGTCTTGCTGTGTCTGTCCACATTCTAGAGCTAAATCCTCCTACTTGTGCTCTAGGAGTTCAACGACTGACACAATTCTGACATCCCCAATACAGATGAAGGATGAGGCACTCTAGTTCCCCTCCACCCCCAACACAGATGCACAGCCTAAGCCTGTGACTAAGTGTCATTTTGACTTGAATTCAGCAATGCACTCACTCAGGCTTGATCTTAAGCGTATGGATAATTCATTGGTTTTGAGCAAACTTAAATACACCATCTTTAGGGGGACTAAGCATGTGCTTGGTTGCTGAAATGAGATCTTTGGGTTTTTTAAATACGTTCATGCCTAGCTATAAGTACAAACAAATGCTAGCATACATGGTTAATGATGCTCCAGCCAGAATTGCTCATCCTTGCAGCTGTACATCAGAGTGTAATTTTAATTAGAGTTTAATTATCTTTTCATTTATTTTCTTCAGCAAGCAAATTTATACCTACCTTGCTGTAAGTTTTCCTGGGAATGTAAATTAAAGTAACATTAATAACACTATATTTCTCCTAATTTGTGTGTCTACGCTTATTTATCTGGGGTTTTTATTAGTCATAATGAAGTATGTTTGGAGAAATCGGGCAACTAATCTATGTATAGAACATAATGTTAAGCAATATCATTATAATAAGAGGATGTTTCTGATTTACTGAATAGAAATAATAATACTATAAATTTACAATTAAGGGGTTTAATATACTAAAATTAATCTGAGGGGAAGTTGTCTGAATAACAAGGGTTTAAGTAAAAAAAGTCTTTTTTTGGCACTGGAGATGGAAATGTTCAAAAATGACCTTAATTTTTTTTTTCTTTTTTTCAGAAGTCAGCTATTAATGGAACATAATGTCAACCTAACTTGCAATTGTTCAATACTTTGTTACGGAAATTAATCTTTTCTGGAAGACATTTGTAGGGAAAAGTTTGCTTTGAGCATTTTTACCAGCTTAGGGAAGTTCAGAATATCCAAATTTTCCTACTGGAGTTATTCCTTAGGCGTAATGCCACATATTTAGTAATTTAAGAATTTGTATTTCTGCAGACACACCTCCTTCAGTCCAAATAAATGCTTTAAAATCATTCATCAATAGATGAGAAAAGCAGAAAACTATTGTGCATCAATATATACAGCAGAAGCCTCAAGCATAGGGGAGCAAGTTACAATGAGTTTATCTAAAGTGGCCAATCATTTGAATGATCAAATTTTGTACATTTTACTTAAAATATCTTAAGAGGTTGACTTATCTGTACTGGTCATGTATAAACTTTTTCTGCATCTTCTTTCGTCTTTTTTTAAGTCTGTAGGTTATTTCAAAGCATTGCTTAGCCAGCATCCAGACTAGGGATGGGTGGTTCTGTTGTGTTGCTTTCGGTTTGTAGTTCCGAATTACTTCACTCTGCATGCCTGAGTCAGCTGGGCTCACTTCTCTGGTATCTAAAAGTTCTTTCTTCAAGTTTTATACATATTTAGATGGCTGCTAACGTAGGAGTTCTCAGAGTCTCTTCAGATGCCTATCTCAGAACAATAAACTGTCTGCTTCCCCCTCCCCCTTTAGTTTCTATATTATGAAAAATAATTTCGGGGGCTGGGGGGGGAAATTTTTGCTTGGTTTTTGTCTCCCCCTCCCTCCTTAATCCTTTAATTTTGGGATGCAATCTTTCTAGCCTGTCCACAGTAGCAAGACTTTCTGTGGAGCTAGAAAGTGATTTTCTACTTTACTTCCCATATGGTGAAGTGCCTTGCTGTGGGAGGTGATATCTAGTCATAGATTGCCTCTGCAGAGAAGGCACAGGATTCTTATTGTGGATGTCTAATGGTGGGCAAGGTAGTGAGATGTTGGAGGGGCTATGTGGCATCAGGGACCAAGGCTAATTGCTACAATTGCATTTCTGCAGACTGTTCTGAGTCTAGAGGATGTCACTGAGTAATGCTGCTAGGAATAGTGAAAATACTGCTAGGACCAACCTACATTGCAGGTATTCACCCGGACTGTGGCTTCTGTATGACCAGAAAGTGATGGTAGTATGTGTGATAAACCTCTGCTTTGTCATTTTAGACTTCTAGGAGTCCTTCTTTGAGATTCCAATTCCATGTTATATTCCTCCAGTCACAAAGCTGAATATGAAATAAATGTGTTGCAGTGATAACCTTTGCTATAACAGCCTGTGCATACTATAAGTGACAGACTATTCTTTCTATTTCCCAATTTG